AATCCAGCTGATTCTAAAAGATGAACAACAGCCTTCCAGGCAGACATTGTGACTAAACTACAGGGTACAAAGTGTTCTGTGCCTCTTAAAGAGTTCAGTACAGGAACTTTAGGAGTTAGATGTCTATTAAGTGATTCCAAAAATAGATGAGGAAAAGGTGAATTTACAAATTAATTCTTTTACATAAACTCGTCAAAGTTTCTTAACAAGAGGAATTCACTCAACTTAATCTTAAATCCTGTATAACATCTTTTGTACCCTCATAATGACCTCACTTCCTTCTAGAAAACTCTGAGATCCAGAGTACAATATCCTCTCTTTCTTATGTATGTATCTTTAGTTTAAAATTAGTTACTTGATAGTATGAATAGAAACCATTATCACATAAACAATTTAGTTGATGCAGGAACTCTAAGTAATTTCCAAGTTACTTCATTTAAGGTTAAGAAGTGGTTTTCTGATCAATTCAAATTTAGCATCCTCAGATTTAGTATTCACATAGATACCACTTGACTTTGTTTCATAAATTAACTTTAAGATTTTGAATGACTTATACAGCTGTTCCCATTAATTGTTTTACTCTCCAAAGACGGAGAAGATGTGAAAAAATTAGAGTTGTTGCCTGGAGGTTAGTACTCCTCAGACTGTATTCCATAGAGAAACTTCATCGCAGTACTAATCCAATCAGAGACGACCTCGGTTATTTTCCAAATAACAACCTGAAAAACAGAGCACTGAGTTTAAAGGTGCAACATAACATTGAAAAATCATCCTCACGATGACTAAGGGCTATTTCCTACATAAAGGGCACTGACTGATTTAAAAGTGAAGTACATGCTTCATGGGAAAATGAGAATGACTGTATTTTTTACTTGAATAATCTAAACATAAAGAATTATATTACTTAAGCCTCTTTTCTTTAGAGAAAAAGCAACATAAAGTGATTTCTCCCCAGTGTAAAAAGGTGAGCAGTAATTTTTTATCTGGTCTATTTTATTGTAGTGTTTTGTTGTTTAATCTCAAGAATCAAAAGCCTTTAAGGAAAATACTTTCCTCCAATCAGATTAATTTATGAAATGATTCTTTTGAACCTGAAATATACAAACAGTACCAATAATAGTGTCTTAATTTTTATAATAGTAAATGATATATAAAATGGACATGCAATCACCTTGTTATAAAGAATTTTATATTTCTTAAAGTTTTGTTGATATTATTAGAGTATTAACTACAAAATAATATTTCTTACTGAATTTTCGATAAAAACTGCTGAGTTTTGGTGAAGAATATGACTGACATTGCGCTGCTGAGTTGAAGTCAGCTAGGTTACATACTAGTTTCTCAACATTGCTAATGTTACATTACCTCTTTGTGCCTCTGGCTCCACATGTAAAATGTGAATTATAACAATACCTACTTTATTCAGAAGGCATTGAGTGAGCCAATAAACATAAAGTCGTTAATGTGGTATTTAGGACATAATAAATGTTCAGAAATTATCAGCAAAAAAATAAGTTCAACTAATCAGGCTTCTCCACTCTTCCCTATAGCTCCATGATGTTGTTTTTTTGTTGTCATTGAGATGATTCCAACTTATGGAGAACCCATGTGTGCAGAGTAGAACTGCTCCATAGGGTTTTCAAGGTGGTGACCTTTCAGAAACAGATGGCCAGGCCTGTCTTTTGAGGTGCCTCTGGGTAGACTTGAACCGCCAATCTTTTGGCTAACAGTTGAGTGCTTAAATCATTTGCCCAACCCAGGGACTCCCATCTCAATGTTGGTCCCTGTTAAAATAGAAAAAGTGGCAAATGAAGACGTTTCCTTGAAGGAAGATAACCTCTTTTCAGTAAAGGTATGGGGACAACTGAAATTGCTTATATTTCTATAGCAAATTTTTTTCCTGTATGCTCAAAGTACAACAATAAGAGACTGGCAGAAATGATATTAAAAAGAAAAATAACTCACTGAGTTAAAGTGATTTCTCTCTAGGTATTGCTGCTGATTTATGATTACACAGAGTAGAATAAAATCTACTAAGTATCAGTTTAGTATTCCTGCTAAAACAATGGCCTGCACATTCTCTGCTTTCCAAGATTGAGAAAAGAATATTCCAGGGCAGGAGAAAAGATGGACAAAGTTCAAGAGGAGAGAAAAAGGATATAAATTCAAATAATCATGATAGATACAAGAACTTTGGTAATGATCATCATAACAACATTTAATAAAACAACAACTGATTGTTTGAAGTCAAACATTTAACAAATACTAATCTACTTACTCTTCAAAACAATTATTTGAATTACGTATTTTTACTACTGTATATTTTTTAAATAAGAATATTAAGCTCTGATAATTTGTATAAGGCATATTACAATAATACTTGTATTCTCCATTTTAAGTCACTCGGTATCAAGCTATTTGGGCAGTGAGTTCTTGAGTCTAGTTTACATGAAACATGATTGCTAAGATTAGTGAAATTTGTCATTCATTCCATTGCCATCCAGGAAATATTTATAAAGCACCTACTAGTGTAAGTACTGGTATTGGAATACAAAACTGAAGGAGAAGTGTATGAAGGCATTATTTTCCTTTTAAAATATTCTGTTCCCTTTTCCTAAGAGTAGAGATAACAGAATAGTTCTGTAATACACTTGGATCACACAAAGTCTCAGATTACATGTCACTTCCTTCTGTAACACCTTGTACTTTTCTTTGCATACATTCTGCACATTCTATCGTAATACCCGATTTATGTCTAACTTCACTACTAGCCCCTAAGCTCTGTAAAGACAGAAACTGAACCCATATATATACAAGATGTTTTTCCTGTGTATTTAACACATAGTGTGGACCATAGTAAACTACAATATATGCTACATAATATATATTGATTTAGTGTCTTAAACATTCATCTAAACATAATTTGGGCATTGAAATTCAATTCTTTGTATTTCCAGTTGTTTTAAAGCTGGTTATCGTAAATATAACTTCTAGAAGAAAAAAAAATTCAGGAAGGTGATGTAAAATTTTGAGGAGATGTAAAATGAGAAAATAACTACAAAAATGTGTAAAAAGGAAAAAAAAATAAGAAAGGCCAGAAAGAAAAAAATAGGATAGAGATGGCAAAATGGGAGTTTAGTGCATGCCCTAGGTCGCAGTTAATAGAATGTATTATTTTAACCTAAACTTTTCCAGGCCCTGGATCCCTCCCCTTGACACGTCTGATCTGTTAGTAGAGAAACTGGGACACACATTTTACCTTTAGGGTGTGCTGTGAAAAATAAAAGTCAGAATGCAGGATTAATTTAATTAAGAAGGAAGAAGCTATAGATTAGGGAGAAGTAAGAAACTAAAAGTATAAACCTTAAGTTGTTTAAGTTATTTGGAATATGTGAGAGGGAAGAGGAGTTTGGAGTCTTAAAAGAAGAGAGATTGTATTCTACATGAAATGAAGAAGAATTTGGAATCTGGGAACTGGAGATGAGAGTTAAAAACTCATGACAATGTGGATTTTGGAGTATGTCATGATCTGTGAAGAAGGTCACAGTTTAGCATTAGTGAAAGAAACAAAATCTGGATGGAAATTCTGAAAAGTGATGTCCAAGATCAAATACAGTGGAGGAGACACTGAACTTCTTTGGACTAAAAATGCTTAATTCTTGAAGAAGCTGATTAGAATCACTCTACACTGCATTTAACACTGTATTTTCTAATGATTGTTTAGAAACACATTAATTTATATTTGTTGTTGTAGTTGATAGTTGCCTTTGAGTCAATGCCAACTCATGGTGACCCCATGTGTGCAGAGTAGAACTGTGGTCCATAGGGTTTTCGAGGCTCTTAACTTTCAAAAGCAGAGCGATCACCAGGCCTGTCATGTGAGGCACCTCTGGGCAGGTTTGAACTATCAAACTTGGCTAGTAGCCAAGTGCTTAACTGTTTGTACCACCCAGGATCTCCTTATTTATATTCAGAGATAGAAAAAAATTTCAAACGGAAGATTTTACTTTTTTTTCCTGGTGTCAAGTGAGAACCCCATGATTAAATTCTTCTTCTGCACATTTTTCCTCTTTTCTTTGTCTAATAACTCTGTAAAGTCCTAAACTTACCTAATTACACCTTTAAGACCTAAAATTTGAACTACGTTTGTCAAAATTTATGAGGCAGTTCTATTCTGTCCTACAGAGTCACTATGAGTCGGAATCGACTCGACAGCAACTTTTTTTTTTTCATGATATGGTTGAGGATATAATATAACAAACCCTTATTTATTTTATTTCATATTTCAAACATCAAGTGATTGTGTGATTTGCTATGATACCTTATTTCTAATATATTTTATATGATATATTAAATAACATACATTTCTATTTTAGGAGAAAGGGAGTAGTTCTCATTTTTGTGATCAGTCATTAGGTCTCTTTCCCAGGCAGTGAGTGGCTCCAGATGGACTGAATCACACATGACAGTGAAGTCTTATCGGCTAGCTTGATACTTGGCTATCTGAGATGTGGCTCACTGGGGAAGCATGAAAGCAAAAATGGAAGAATAATACGAAAAAACTGTAAATGAGAAGGTGCTACACAGAAAACAAAACACAATTGAAAATTAAATAGATGCCAGAGAGAATAGGAAGGGGAAACATTTCTCACTAGAGAATGTCACTTGTAAACTACTGCAGATCTTATCCAGAATACAAGAAATCTGATGTGTTTTCTATTGTTGTCTATTTTTCTGTGATTTATTTTTCACAGATTCATCGTATTTATTATAAGTAGGAAGAATAGAGTTTAGGATGATTTTGTTTTTACATCCTATAATTTTAGGATATAGGATTTGAACTATATTACAAAACAGCTTATTATATCAACCAACAAAAAATGGATGCCCATCCTATGACAGTGGACTTGAAATCGTTGATTGGTTCAAGATGTGCTATTTTGCAACAGCGTCCAGAGAATTAAAGTAACTTCTAAACCTTGAAATCATTTTGCTCACAGATGGAATGCACAGGACAAAAAGAGCAGGGGAATCTCACCACTTTTGTAGAATTCATCTTGCTTGGCTTTGCTGATGTTCCTGACCTCCAGGGATTTCTTTTTGGGGTGTTTTTGGTAATCTATCTGATTATCCTGATTGGAAATAGCCTCATTATCATAATTACCAAGGTGGATCCTTCCCTCCAGACCCCTATGTATTTTTTCCTTGGGAACTTTTCCTTCTTGGAAATATGTTATGTGTCAGTCACTGTTCCCAGATTGTTAGCAGATCTTGGTCGACAAAATAGAAATATTTCCTTTCTGGCCTGTGCTACTCAAATGTATTTCTTTCTGGTCTTGGGGGCCACTGAGTGCTTCATTCTGACTGCAATGGCTTACGATAGGTATGTGGCCATTTGTAACCCATTGCTGTACCCTCTCGTCATGAACACTCGACTGTGTATCCAGTTGGCAGCTGGCTGTTGGATCAGTGGAATGCCAGTACACATGGGGTTCACCTATCTCATTTTCTCTCTACCCTTCTGTGGACCTAACCAGCTGGATCACTTTTTCTGTGACGTACCTCCAGTACTTAAGCTAGCCTGTGGGAACACATTTATGATTGAGATGTTGATTTATGTGGTGGCTGTTCTAATTGTCACTATTCCTTTTCTGTTGATACTTGGGTCTTATGTCCAAATAATCTCAACCATCCTGAAGCTGCCATCAGCCACAGGGCAAGCCAAGGCCTTCTCCACCTGTTCTTCCCACCTCATGGTGGTGGCTTTATTCTTTGGATCAGGCATCATTACATACATGAGACCAAAGTCCAGTCATTCAGTAGGAATGGACAGATTCCTTTCTCTTTTTTATACCATTGTGACGCCTATGTTTAACCCCATGATATATTGTCTGAGGAACAAAGATGTCATGGTGGCACTGAGAAAATTTCTATCAAAATGGATTGTGTTATGATTCAAAAACATGACTTTTAAAATCTGTTTTCTTATTTGTTATAGTCTCCATATATTAATTTTGGTTCTTTCTCTGATAGTCTAAGAAATGGTAATTATTCTCAATAAATTATCTCACATATTTTTTTTAATCTCACCATAAAATCAACACAGCTTTTCTTTTCAAAGAGTAACCAATACCAATCTTTAATACATTCTTATGGAGGAAAAGCAGTCACCTATGAAACTCAATCCAAGATATTGAAGTATCTGTATACCACATTGGAACCATCAAAGATTGTGCTTGGTGCTGTTGTTTTTAAGATTCTAGAACATTGCCTACATTTTCTTCATCACTAAAAAAAGATTATTTATCTTTCTATCTCCAGAGCCCAACATATTGTCTGAAATATTATAGACATTTAATTAATTTGGTTAGATTGAAATGATGAGTGTCAGCAAAGGTTTTATTATCATTGTTTTATCTACTGATGATCAGTAATTGCATTAAAAGCAGGTAAGTTCACGTAAAGAAGAGAAGGAGGAAGGAAGGAAAATAAAGGTATTTGAGTAACTAAAACACCATGTTTTATACAAAACCGTTAAATGTAAGCTCTAGACTGTGCAAGAGTCGTTTTTCTTGCCTCCAGCCCATTTCATCTTGACGTAGAAACCAGAAATTTATTTCTCTATAGAAACTTAATGCCATACGGTCTTAATGACAAAGGAATATTTGACTGAAGGCTATGTGTTAAAGACTAGAAATGGTAAATTTGAAAGTGAAGGCCAAAATATAAGAGAATTTGAAAATAAAGGAATGATCTGTACAGTCAAAACCAGCAGCATTCAAGTCAATTAAGAAAAATAAGGGATTGTAGTGTAAATGGTTAATGCACTGAGTTGCTAACTGGAAATCTGGAGGTTTAAATCCACACAGAGGTGCCTAGGAAGCATGACCTGGCAATCTACTTCTGAAAAATCATACACTAAAAATCCTGTGGAGTGCAGTTCTACTCTGACGAATATGTGGTTGTCATGAATTGGAACTGACTTGATGGCAACTGGTTACCTTTTGATAAGTTAAAGAGGTATATCATTAGCCCTAGAAAAATTACTCAGATAATTATAAAAAGAGGTATACATATAAACCAAATCTATTGCTGTCAAGTCATTTCCAACTCATAGTGACCCTGTAAGACAGAGTAGAAGTTCCCCATAAGTTTCCAAAGCTGTAATCTTTACAGAAGCAGACTGCCACATCTTTCCCCCGCAGAGCATCTGGTGGGTTCAAAATGCGGATCTTTCAGTTAGCAGTTGAGTGCTTAACCACTGCATCACTAAGGCTCCTTCTACGGACAACAATATGGGAAAAATGAAAGAATTTACTTAATGCAAAAATGGGCAGAAGAAAATGAAGGAGCAAAAACAAAAGAAAAAATATTAAAACAAATGACAAATGGTAGATTAAACCCAAAAATATCATGACATCAAACGCAAATAGATGAGCATTTTAATTAATAGGTAGACAATGGAACAAAAAAGCAGAACTTCACTATGCACTGTCAAATTGAGCTGCACTTTAAATAAATACATTCAATGTGTTTGAAAATAAAAGCAGAAAATAAAAAGCTACACATTGTAAACTTTGAGCATAAGAAGGATGGTATGGCTGTATTAATAACAGTTAAATTCAAAACAAATAGTACTGCTTGAGATAAATACAGAAGTGTCATAATGATAATACAGACCATTTATCAAGCAAGCATGAAAATTCCAAATGTGTTGGCACTAAAAACAGTTTCAACATTCATCAATTAAAATTAACTCAGAAGTAACAGATGTAAGAAATAGAGACAAGGATATTAAAAGAGCTCAAAAACTTAAGGAGAGACATGGAAAATATGAAAAAAAAAAGAAGCAGATTAAATTTCCAGAGATGAAAACTACAATGTTTGAGATAGAAAAATTAGTACTAATAAGTGAGTTTTGCAAGAGTTCAGAATTCAAGATCAATATAGAAAAAGTAAAAAAGTATAAAAAAGTATATTTAAAATAGTATAAAATATGATATACTTAAGAGAAAAATCTGGCAAAGATATACAAAACATGGATACTAAAACTAAAAAAGTATTGCTGAGAGAAGCTAGAGAAGACCAATACAAATAGCATGTTGATGCTTTGAAGCTCAATATTGTTAAGACAGATTCTCCTTAAATTGATCTATAGACTCAGTGCAATGCTAATAAAACAGAAAGTTATTTATTCATGGAAAATAGAAAAATGATTTTAAAATTTATATGAAAATTCTGAGGACTTGGAATAGTCAAAACAATCTTGAAAAAGAAAGATAATATTGAAGAATTCACACTACCTGATTTTAATTATTTCTATAATCGCACAATAATCAAGCAACTGCTGTATTTTCATTAAAACAGGAAAATACATTAGTGAAAATTATTGGAGTCCAGAAATCAACGAACACGTATTTAGACAAACTACTTTTATCGGAGGTGCAAAGACAATTCTGTGGCGAAAGGATAGCCTTTTACCTACAATGCTGAAACAATATATCTATATTAAAAACAAAAATACAAAAAAACAAAGCAAAACAAAACAAAGAAATTTAACTCATATCTTGCACCAAAACCAAAAATTATCTAAAAATGAATCATGTATCTGAATGTAATAGCTAAAACGTTAAGATTTTCAGAAGAAAAAAAAAATGAACAGTTATTGTGACTTTGTGTTAGGCAAAAATTTTCTTTCATACAACCAAAGAATCAAACCAAAGAATGATAAATTGGATTTCATCAAAATTAAATCCTTCTTTTTAAAGACATTGCTGAGAGAATGGAAAGACTAGCGACAGACTTGGAGAAAACATATCCAAATTCATATATCTGATATATTGTTTGTACGTAGTATATAAAGACTGTTTTATCCAGAATATACAGAGAGAAAACGGTAATAAATAAACTACCCTATTTAAAAATTGACAGAATAATTGAACACCTTTTTAGCTAAGAAAATAGTAAAGGGGAAATGCTCAGTATCATTAGTCATCAGGGAAATGCAAATAAAATCACAACAGAATTGCCTTATGCATCTGTTAAATGGCTATAATCACACAGTCTGACCACGCAAAGAGTTGTCAAAGATAAAGAGTTAAAACTCTAATACACTACTGGTGAGAATCTGAAGTGTTACAACCATGCTGGAAAACAAGTTTGGCACTTTCTCAAAATATTGAACATACATCTATCATATAACCTAACCATTCCACTTCTTGTTATTTTTCCAAAAGAAATAAAAGCATTTGCTCATTTAAAGACTTGTTCACATTTTTTCATACAGCTTTATTTGTAATAGCCAAAAATAGGGGAAAAAAAAAAAACCTCAAATGTCAAACAGTGGGTGAATAAAGGAATATACTGAAGTATAATCAGACCACACAATATCACTTAGCCATATAGAAGAGTGGACTGTTGAACATGCAACAATATGACTGAACCTCAAAACAATTATGATGAGTGAAAGAAGCCAATCAGAAAGTACTACATACTGTAAGATTCGGTTTATAAAATCCTATAAAATGAAAACTTACCTGTAGTGATAGAAAGTAGATCAGTGATTGCCTGGGGAAAGAATATAGGTGTAGGAGGCAGCGATTACATAGGGACATAAGGAATACTTTGTGGGCAATGGATATGTTCGCTACCTTGATTGTGATGATGTTTTCACTGGTGTTTACATATATCAAAATGTATCAAATCGTACACTTTCAATGTTCATCATTTATTGTGTAAATTCTGCCTCAATTAAACAAAACGACAGTTGCTGTCGAGTCAATTCCAACTCACAGCAACCGCATGTGTGTCAGAGTAGTACTGTGCTTCACAGAGTTTTCAGTGGCTAATTTTTTGGAAGTAGATAGACAGACCTTTCTTCCAGGGCGCCTCTAAGTGGAACTGAACCTACAACCTTTTGGTGCAGTTAACGATTTGTACCACCCAGGGACTCCTATGCCTCAACACAAGTGATAAAATAAAATAAAAAGTATCTATAATAAAATCCAAACTTTCTAAAAATAATAATTGGGTGAACAAGAGAGCCCATCTGGTGCATGCCCGTTAGCCTCTTTTCTCACCATCCCAGTGTATTGCTCAGTGGGACTACATGTAATGCAATGATGTTGACAGAATGGAAGAAGGCATAGGCTCAACATTGTCAATGTCCGTTCACCAAGACAAGCTATACTTACTTCCTGCTGAATGCTTGCCACAGAAAGTGCCAGACTTGAGCCTTTCATGTGACAGCATTGCCCAGGCATCCAGTCTGCCATCTGGTGGCCATGTGAATACAGTATAGCTTTTCTATCATGGAGTGGGTAGCATGCTTTCCTCATGAGAATAGATTTGTATTCCATATATGGATTTGTCTTTCATGCCAGGAACATATCTGCCAGCAACACGATTGAGAATGCCTTTCACATTGTCATGGTTTTGCACACAATATCATCTCTGAACAAGACACTTATTTTACTATAAATAAAGTATGTAATGTGCTCATGATCATGGAATTCACTGGTACTACCTTCTTATCTGGAGCCCTGGTGGTGCATTGGTTAAGAGCTATGGCGAACTACAGCTGCTAACCAAAAGGTCGGCAGTTTGAATCCACCAGCTGCTCCTTGGAAACTCTATGGGGCAGTTCTACCCTGACCTATGGATTTTTTGCCATCTTATCTACCTCCTAGAGACAACTGGGTTGATTAGCGTTATGGCATACTAAACAAACAACTAGTAAACCTATCAGCCTTAAACTAAGGATATGGTGCCTCTTCCCATATAGCCAGAATGCTTGCATTTGGAATTCAAAAAGTGGAATTGGAAACAGCCCCTATTAATACTAGATCTAATAAAATATTTTGTCATTTATTTCCTCTTCCTGTGACCCTAGTCTTCCTGCGTTGTTACTGAATTCCTAGTATTCAAGAGAAGAGTGTTTCTACTGGGTAAACAG